ACCAAAGACTTAAACTACTTCAGTCTGTGTGCATTGAATTTATTTAATACACGAGTTTCACAATTTGAGTTGAATTACTGAAATAAATGAACTTTTCCACGACATTCTAATTTATTGAGATGCACCTGTATGATGGGTACAGACTCCGATTTTTTATCTTCAGATTTTGATAGGTTTGATAATTGAGCAGATTTTAGAACACATATTGTTTTCATTTGTCATGTGTCTCCTGCCAATGAGTCACATGTTTTGTTGCTAGAAGTTGTTTGCAGCATGATTTGAAAAGTCTGTTAATGTGTGATCCTCATTCGTTTAGTGTGATGCCCAGTTTTTCTCTGTAACCATTTACAAAATAGGCAAGTGTATGATTTCAAAGTTGTATAGTGCATTCCAACATTAAGAAAAAAACTGTTCTTTATTAAGAACTATTAATTGAAAAGTTTGTTGGAAAACTCAAAATTAATCTTCTATAGCAGCAAAACTCCCCTTTTGGAACCTTTAAGAGTATAGGACCGTTTTGCAGCTGACAAGATGTTTAAAAGTGATTGAAATGGACAAATTGAGAACAACAAACTTTCTAAATGCAGGGGGGGGGGGGAAGTACCTTCAGGGGTACAATATTTGTTCCTTGGACAGGACAGTACCCTTAAATGGTATGTACCCCAAACAGGATCACCCAAAAATAAACATTCTGGCATTATTTATTCACTGTCATGTAATTTTAAACCTGTATGGCTTTTTTTCATCTGTGGAACAACTGCATTTGTCTATGTAATTAAAGTAAATGGGGTAAAAAACAATAATAGACAATGTTGACTTTTATTATATGCAAAAGAAAGAATGCCATACAGGTTTGGAATGACATGATGGTGAACAAATGACGACAGAATTTTCATTTCTGAGTGAACTGTCCCTTCAAGGAACTAACATGCATCCTTTAGAAGTAGATAAGGTATAAAGGTATACTTTTGCAGGGTAATGTTCCAGTGCAGTACTGTCGAACCTTAATAGTCAGAGAGTGCACATCACCAAAAAGTCAAACTGTCAGTCAGATTGCATGCATCTCTACTAATGCAAGGGTTCGTGCCAAATTCCAAGTCAAGTGGTTAAAAACACTCAGCTTGCCAAGACAAGCACTGAAGAACTTCTACACACTGAAAGTAATCTACATAAAGAGTATGCTGGCAGTTGCTGCTAACTGCAGGTTAAATAGGTACTATCCTTCATTCCTTCCCCCACTCTTCCTCTCTCCGTACAGATACCTGGCTCACTCCACTGCAGCTGCATTTCAGAGCTCTCGGCTCACACATACACACACCAAAAGGAAGACAGAATAGCAACTGGAATATGTTAGATGTGGACTGAGAGCTGTCCTCAGGTGTTACTGCTCAGTATTGCAAAATGAGGACACCGATACAGGTTTTTTATGGGTCTTTTTATTTGCTACAGGAAGAGGTTAACATAAACCTGTGTGTTTTATTTAGATAAAGAGGCTGCCTGTCAGCCAAAGAGGAGCGGGCAGCATAAAGAGTGATTCCATTGGAACACATCTGAAGTACCGTTTCCTCTTGAATTATTCACTCACGACTGTCACAGTATCTGTGAGAAATTCAATCGACCAAACTGGGCATTGAGTCTCCTGTCAAACATTTCTCGTGTTTCTACACTGTGTGGAGAGGGCTTGCCCACAGTGTCTTTTAGGACCAGGGTTTTTGAAAGATTCAGGCATATAGTCTGTATCTTTGCTCTTACTATATCTATTGAAAGTTGTCCATTTTTGGTCTGATTTATCACACAACTCATTTTATTTTATATTTTTATATTCCATACAAATTCCATCTCTGAAACTTTTTTTTCTAGGCCATGCAGGTGGGAAAAAATTATTAACCAATAGCCAATTAGCATTTTTGGTATTAGAGTGCTGTTGCAGATAATGCACATATTCTAAAATCTTGCCTTTAAGTAACACACTAATGCTGGATAATGTTAATACGGTAAGTTACATCAACAATATCAAAGAGTAAAATTGAAAAAGAGATGACAAAGTCCACTGAGACACATCAAGACAATCTCAAATCAACTTTTAGCTGCAATGTCCCACACAAAACATTTCAAAAGTGTGTGTATCACCTGCTGTTTCAGGAAGAGGGGTAGACCTCCACAATTCACACTGAGGTCTAGCCTCACATTGAGGTCTAGCTAAAGTTTGGAAAGGAAACCCACTTTTCACAATCCAATCAACTCCTAATAGATAAAATTACATTAAAAATGAGTTCTGAAGTAAAAATGAGTTCTGAATGGCAATAAAAATGAGAGCTGAATGCCATTTCATTGAATTAAAAATGCGTTCTAAACGCCATTTCATGTCCACCTTGAAGATCCTAATGGGATAACCAAAGAACTAAATATCCTTTTGAATAATCTAAAAGCCTCATTTCAGTATATCAGTACATTTGTACAGAATATCAGATTCTTAGCAGACGATTTGAAGATCCTTTATGATTCTTAGGATGCTTTAAGATAATTCCATTAGAAAAATTCTGCACATTTCTTATGGATTTTTGGACTAGCAACAGTAACATCACTCATCTAGACTCACCACAGGAGAGTGACAAGTGTCTATTTGCGTCTTATTATTTTGTTTTCCCTCTGGCTTTCCTCTAATTTTAAAATGTAAAATGATTATTGTTTGCTGCAGGAGTTCGAGTAGTTAAAAATTCACAGTGATTCAAATCTGTGATACGAATGATACTGCTATAGCATTGTACACATGCAATTAAAGCCTGCAGGCTAGATTAAACATCTGCTGTGAAACCTGTTAAAAACAAGCTTGCATAAGTGTGGTCGTGACACTATGCACTGCTCTGCACTGCCTACGGGCTTGATATGGATGCTAGTGTTATACGCCAGCGAAAACGCAGAAAGGAAGAAAAAGTTATTGAATTATGTTGTCGTGTATAGATGCCAAATTAGTTTCAAATCTTCATTCACACAGCATGAAACAATTGCTGGAATATCCTCTAATGTGTGACTCATGGCTGACTCATAAAAATAAAAATGGTGGCTTAATCCAAAATATTACAAGATTAGCCTTTTGTTAATCTTTTTTTTATTGGCGAAGATTAGTCACATGCATTCTGTAAACAAGCACACACGTTCATCAACACTCATGTGCAAACATCTATAAAATCAACAGCTGCACGTATTTTAGTCAACTGAGGGGGAAAAGAAATGACAGGAACCTCATCTGTTTCACACGTCTCTTATGTGGGCATCCACACATGTGAACATCGACCCGCCAAGCCACGTCCTACCCATCAACACGAACGTGTAAACATTCATTAGACCGATCGGAAGAGCCTTCACCTTTTTCCGTCTCTCAGAGGGCCCCATGTGCATTCAAAAGCAGGGAGAGGAAGGCTAATGAAAAGCCCTTCTGCTGCAGCTTCGCATGAAAACAGAAGCAGAGAGAAAAGCAAAGCATTGCTTATTAACTGGCTTTTGTTTTGGTATTTCGCGGGTGTGCGTCACTCTCATCAGCAGCTTGAAGTGCTCTCTGCCTCCCGCTCAACCCACTCACTGCTCCTGTGTACTGGAGACTAAAAACATTCTCTCCACCACTATCTGCTACTGTAACTACAACAAACTGTATAACATTTCAGGGTTACAAGGTTTTTGGATATAGATCTGAGGTAGTTTCTTGCAGCCAGACTTTTGATAATCATAGTCTGCTCCACATTGCAGCCGGCCACTTGAAAGAATATTCCAGGTTCAATCCTATTGACAGCATTTGTGACATAATGTTGATTACCACAAAAATAAATAATTAAATAAATACTTAAAATCAGAAATTTAAAGCTTTATTTTCATACATCTTTTATAAAAGTGTTGCTTTTTTACAGTGGTTTTAAGGTTTTAAAGGTTATGTGGTCATGGTAACGAAGTTGTAAAACTGGATATAGCTTTACAGGAAAAGGTTAATATGTTTATATACATATTGTTTTTGTCTTGTGGCTATACTTTATTATTAACAAACTAAAACTATTGAAAATCACTTTTGTTCAATGAAAACAAAAAAACTGAAATAAAATATAAATATTTAAACTTAAAAAACAAACCACAATTAGAAATGCTGCCTTGGTAACTAGCTGAAGTTTTTAAATGACTGAAACTGAAATAACATAAAGCTAAACAGAAATATAAAAAAATAATAATAGTAAAAATGACAAAAGCACATAACAAAATTATTAAATGTTAAACTAAAATTAAAACTGAAAATATAAAAGTAAAGGCCTATTTAAAATATGAATAAATACTTTTGTAGTGTATAAATAATACCAAAAATAACACTGAAACCCGTTTTGTTTAGTTTTTTAGAAAATGAGGGACAAGGCAAAATTAATGTTTGTACTATCAGCTGGTCACACTGATCCAACAAAAACAAAAATGTAGTTTTGTTAGTGCAGTGTGAATTAGACATCAGACAAGATAAAGCTGTCTGGGAATCATGTAAAGCTACCAATCCCACTTTGTTTTTTTACATGACATTTAAGGGAAGAATAATCTGAAATCAGATATAACACTGTAGCAGCCTGGGAACTTGTAAACACAACTCCCAGTGGACTGATAAAATCCTGCGCACCCTGACTTTGAGAATAGGGCCCTGCAGAATAGGGACTTGCAGTTTTATGACCTTCGTTTTAAATGTTTCTCTGATGTTCGCAGGACTATATGTCACATTTGTCATTTTATTATTCATAAGGGTCTTCATAAGCACCCCCTTTGTGGCCACAATGGTGCAGATTTCACCACACTATCGACAGCTATTGCCTCTGTGCAATCACTACAAGGGCTGAGGATGTCCATTGCTGTGTGCATCGTAAACATTATGCAAGAACAGAATTAGTACTTCTGAAATCACTAGTACGCAAAAGGTGCCTGGATGATATTCTATTTGTGTGCATCCATGCTAGAGATGTGCTGCAGGGATTGGCTGGTACCTGTCTAGGTGGTGGTACTCCAGCGATGATTGGTGGCGTATTTAGGAGGAGGCTTCAGGACCCTGAAGAGTCTCTCAGTGGGACAAACACCTGCAAACAGATCAGATCACAGAAACACTTCTGTTAGCTGCAAAATATATACATAATATTTTAAGGCTGTTACTAATGAAGAAAATATCTGTATAAATGTGTGAGGAAGAACACATGGGACTGTTACTAACACACAGAATGAGCTCATTTGTTCTTTAATGAGATCACAACCTAGGCAATCAGCGTACAACTGCGTACGACACACACCTGGACAAACCACAGAGATAAGCCTTCATTATAGCACACACATTAGTGTTAAATGGCACACCTATAGAAAACAAAAACCCTCGATTCTCTCGTTTTGCCTACACAGCCAATATGTTCATCATATGCATGCTATTAATATGAATGCTTATCATGCTTTGAATTTTCAGTTCCAGTTTTCAGTGTTACATGATCCTTCAGAAATTATTCTAATATGCAAATTTTCTGCTTAAGAAACATTTCTTATTATCAATGTTGAAAACAATTGTACTGCTTAAAAACATGAACTCAAACTAATAGTTAATTCAAATTTTAAATGTTATTTAACCCAATGTCTGTTATTTAACCCAACATTTGAAATCAGTCACTCATATTTTAAGATGCTGCCTTAGTAGAAAGTTGCCTTTATAGACTATAAACAGCTCAAAGGTTTTGAAACAGCATTTATCTCCTTCACACACTCCATGGCCATAAAGAAAGCCTGACATAGATTTTCTCCACAGGCCTGAACTAAATAAAGAGCTTCAGTTATCAGCATATAACAGCGGCTCTGACACAACAGTCACCTCTGCTTAACTCCATTCACAGTGCTTCAACATGTCTTTATTATGGAGCATAATGTACTTATGACTGCAGCTTTGGTTCCAGATAAACCTGAACAACTGCATATTCCCATTAGCTTTTGGGACTGTTTGTGCGAGTGATAGAGTTATAAGGAGTGTAATAACTAGCCTAGAGCTTGAAGAGAAAAGATGGATATACTGGGGTATATATCCATTATCCATCAACCCCTATAAAACAGTGGTGCAATGGTGGCATCAGGATAGGCATGCATGGATGGATGGATGGATGGAGGATGCATTATTGTGGATTATGGACTCGTATTTTGGCCAGAACCGACGTTTTAAAATTAAAACACTGTTATAATGGATTTGTTGCTTACAAACATGCAGCTTTTCGCTTCACAAAATGTTAACTGATGTACTGGAGTCATGCGGATTACTTTTAGATTATTGTGATCTTTTTATCAGCTGTTCGGACTCTCATTCTGACGGCACCCATTCACTGCAGAGGATCCATTGGCAGTGTTGGGAGTAACGCATTACAAAAGTAATAATATTACAGTAGTATATTACTTTTTGCTGTAACGCAGTAATATAACGCATTACTAATAAAATTTGGGTAATATTATTACTCGTTACAATCTCAGTAACGCAAGTTACAACAACATATTTTAACTCAAAATTAAGTGGTGAATTTACTAACACCGCAAAACAGCACCAGAGAAAAAATTCCGC